GACTGACTGCGCACGCACAGGAAAAGGATGTGGACGTCAAAAATGAAGCGTCGCCGTGACAGTTATCGAGGAGGAAGAGAAGAGTCGCGGCGGCGGGGAGGCCAAAACCCAGAACACAAAACACAGAAGTGCGACGACTCAGCGTCACCCTGACCCAGAGGGGACCCTGGCCCGCCCCGCGCGCAGCGCCGTCAGGGGGTTCAACGTGCGGAGCCGGGTGGAGCAAGAGCACACAGTGCAGGGCAGGGCAGGGCACCGCGCAGAGCCTGGCACACAGCACTGGCGGTGCTGTCATCCGTGACCTTGGGAGAGAGTGCAATGGTCGTGATAAGGCTCCCCCGGGGAGGCGGCCCGGCGTGCGGTGCAGCGCCCGTTATGCAACTAGGGGAGCCCTGGCCGGCCTCACGGCTCGCGGCATGCGCGCAGGCCCGCAGTGCGCCCGCAGTGCGCCCGCAGTGCCACCGCACATTACACTCATTATTGTTAGACTGTTCGAAAATAATCGCAATTTCGGATTGCGTCAGCGTCACGGAGCCGAGGCGGCGGCGGCGCCGCGCGACCAGCAGAGAGCGCACAGCGATGCAGCAGCACTTGAGCTCCCGCTCTGCTGCGCGCGGCGGTGCGCCAGCACCCGGGGCCGTCTCTATCGCAAAGCAAACGAAAGGGGTCGGCACTCACGTCGTCGGCTCGTCCAGGAACATGACGGGCGGGTTGTCGATGAGCTCGAGCGCGATAGACAGCCGCTTGCGCTGGCCGCCCGACAGGCGGCAGCACCGGGTGTCCCTTGTGGCGGACAGCCCCAACGTCTCAAGGATGTCCTCGATCTGGAGACAGAAAGGCGCGCACGTCACGCAAAAGTGAGCACAACACGTGACCAGGTACGACTCTCTGGGCTGCGAAGGGCAATCGAATTACACAGGTAGGCAGGCCGAGGCCGGGGGAGCGGGCTCGCCACCTGCTCGCCACCACCGCACTCACCACGAGCTGCTTGGCCTTGGTGGACAGGGAGCTGCCCAGCTTGAACTCGGACGCCATCGTCATGATCTCGTGCACCGTGAACAGCGGGTTCAGCATGTCGTCCTGCATGATGTAGCACGACTCCTTGCGGAAGCCCGAGGTGGAGCGCGCGGACGCGTTCATGCCGCCCACCGTCCCAGACACCCCGGACACCCTGCAAAAAACAGACAGGAAAAAAAGAGAGTTAGAAAATGTCGATTTTTTTGGGCTGCACTCGCGACAGCATCTCGGCGCAGCAGCAACTGCGGGCCGGCGGCGGCGGCTGGGCGCGGAGCCCCCTGACATAGGCAACCTTCCGCCCGGGGGTAGGCAACACGCGCGACGGATCCTTCCCCGCTTCTGTGCAGCTGTTCGGACGTCATCCGCGCGGAGTGTTTTGAGCTGCTGCAGCGCTCGGGCCTGACCCGGTCGACCTACAAACTAACCAGCCCGCAGGAGGAACGGAGGAATGCTAACACGAGCCGGCCGGGTCCAGACAGCCTCCCTGTGACAGGAAGTGGGGGGGGGGGGATGCAGAGGATGCGGGCGAAGGCCCATCGCACGATGATGTATATATCCACGTAAGCCCGTCCGTTTTTGGAGGCAGTTAAGCGTCGTCGCGAGGGACGCCCCGCGCGTCTTGTCCAGCGAGTCGGCCGGAGCCGCGCAAGGACGCCGCCCTCCCCACCCCGCTCACCTTCCTCCCCGTCCCTCTGCACTCGGCTCGGGCTCGCCGCTCGCTCGGCCGCCGCTCAGACAGGAAGAAGAGGAAATGAAAGGGCAAAACAAATGAGGCTCGGGAGGCGAGCTGGTGTGCGAGCAGAGGGGAGGGGGGTGAGGAGGAGACCCACACGCGTGCAGCTCACTGAAGGTCCTCGAGGAGGTGGGGCCGGGCGGGCTGCATGCCGGCCCGACACAGCACACACCGATCGCCATACACGTGCTGGGTGCATCTGTGAATGCGCTTGTGGGATTGCAAAAGGATTAGGCAAACCCGCGCAATATGCAGAGTAGTTTTCCAGTAAAGTATTTGGGGAAGTTTTGCAAGATTTATTATTACAATTTCGGAAGTTTTTTTTCGGAAAAGTACATTTTTTTCAAAATTTTCTGAAAGTACTGCGATTTTCTCTATTTTTTTTTTCTGGCAAGGTTCCGATATTTTCCGAAAACAAATAATAACCGGACTTTAAAATTGCCACTGTGGAGCGCATTCCAAGAGACACCCGGGACACGCTGTTGCGATGCACTCCGCACCGCACGCATGCGTTTATGCAATTAGGGCAGCGCGTTCGCGCCGCGGGCCCGCCAGGCCGGCCGGCTATTGTGATATAAATACGGCAGCGCCTTCCTGGTGCCTCGGCTGCTGTTTGCACGCGACGGTAACGTGTGCTGCTGCAGCCGCGAGTCGGCCGCGGATAAGTAAAGGAAATAAACATATACACATTATTTTTGCGTGCGAGTCAATGTTTGCCCCGGGGCGAAAGTGTTCTTGACATTGCAGCCGGACGACAGCGCGGCATTGGGCAAGGCCACCGCGGGCCGCCGCCGCCGCGCCGCGTCGAGGCTAGCGCGGTGTCGGCGCTGGGCGCGCGTCGAGATGGGGTGTTTCCATGAAGCCGGAAGCAAAAATGGCGAGACGGTTTGTAAGTTTAAAGTAGCAAAGGGCCGGAGAGAAAGCACGCGGGTGTAAGCAATCGAGGTGGTGACCCTGTATTAAATGTGCTCTAGACCTCGCTTTAGACGAACGCGCGTGAGTGGTTTGTCAACTCAGGTCGCTGATTAGCCTAACCCCCGCACACTTATTGGACAGGTAAACTCTACCGCATGCAGGTGTGCGGGTGGGTTTGCCTATCGTCTACGGCCACGATCCCAGTCGGGT